GTTAACGTACTGAGATGGGATCTCATGTTTGTCAGTCGAATAACCAATGATGTAGCAGAAATACTTCGCCACTCTCTCAAATTCTAGGAGATTGCTACTGAACTATGACCGACAAAGCAATCTGGTCTTCGTAACGATTCTACTTACGCATACTCTGTGTCCTTATCGTGCTCCTTTCTTCATTATCTGTGGCATGGAATTAGTTTTAAATGACTCAGGTAAATAGTACCTATGCTTACATAAGGAGAAAAGCTTTCTGACGAAATGTATTCTCTCACTTCGCTATCCTCGTCCAGGTCGCGAACTGTTTTGTTTTACCAGATACAAGCACTATGGAGTTACATCGGACGTGTGGCATCTGCCAACATACAGATGGCTTAATCTCAACTTGCGGAACATTCACTGAAGTTATCAAGACCTGTTAACGGATTATTTTAACCAAGTGTTTAAAAGCAATCTTGTTCGTACGAGGTGAAAGCGCAATGCAGAATAATTCTTCCTTACCAACGTGATCCTAATATAAGACGCTAATAATAATCAGGTTTGTTTCAAAAGGCTAAAGGCTTCACAATGAAATAACGGCGAGAGAATAATAACAGTTAGGAAATACTTATTCCCGAAAGCAACCATCTCTCGTATTGTTTAATATTCACACAAATCCCCCACTTCTTAAACGGACTGAACAGTTTGTGTGGATTTTCAGAACGGTTGATTTAATTTGGATCTACCAAATTTCGTAGCATTTTGGTCGTTATTTCGCTTGGTCAATTGCAAGCTATTGCTCACTCATTTATTCGGTTGAATGTTTTTCCGAACAAGCACTACTGTTTAGTATGCAGAGAGTGTTGAGCAAAGTTTTCTTGCAAGCCAACGACTAGACAAATCAACATGGAGAATGCATCTAGCTAATACTCCCATCAGTACCATAGCGAGTATGTAAATATGCTGATGGCCTTGGTGCACTCTAATAAAATGAATGTGAGATTTGTCAATTTTGTATCCATTTGTGCCATCTAGCTGCGTCGAAGTGGTCTAATCACAGGGTGTTCCATTTGAGTTATGCACGGCATTATGCGAACCAATGTTGCATTCGGACGCCGAAATAAATTCACTCCTGTACGGCTCTAACATGCCCCCCGCAGACACCGATAATTGCAGTGAAACACCAAGTTTGTCAATTCTAAAACTGGTAAAAGTTGGTGGTCAAACTGGACATTTCTGTACAGATTTTGCATCAAATAATCTTTTGGAAAAAGTCAAAAGGCAGGTTAAAACCACGAACTTTGGCGGCATTACTTACAGCACTTGTGCGCAAAAAAATTGGGAAAACATATCTCCCATATATTACTGCACAATTTTCTTGTAAGGCCGAATAGCTTTCATACAAACTTACCCAGTAAAATAACAACATCAGTCTGTGATGTGTTTGTCTTCACACAAGTATCATGAGATGGGAAATACCGCATCCCAAATTATTCACGTTTATATGAGGCTCCAACTGGTTATAGACATGAAACTTATGCAATTGTCGTGTGTGTGTGCTCAATACGCGCTTCATCTGAAGACCGGAGTACAATGAAGGAGGAAACAACTGCGCAATAAGTGGATCGGCAATCAAGATGTTCTGTTAGAAGCCTATGGATCAAATATTCATCAATTTCAGGCAGCGTTCGTTTTACGTATCTAGATTTAGCGGATTTTACCCACTGATGGAAATGACAGCAACTCACTGACTCCTTTCAATGCGCTGCGTACTTGGCAGCCTATTAATGACATGATGTATGGGTCACAACGTAACACTCCAGCTCCCACAGGCTATTACAAAAATCATGGGCACTTTCCCTCGAAGCATTTTCTTGAGAGCCATATTCACTCTCCATCTGCTCCGCTGTGGCCACCTCCAAATGATTTCCCACCGTTGGCAATACACGCAATTTTGAACAATTTCTAACCTTGGTGCTGGCACACCGCCTGAAACCCCAGTGTTTATAACAAAACCTAAAAAATCTACCTCATATCTCACATCTCTCTCAGTATTTATGATAAACATTCGTTATCTTCACTCTAAAATCTACACACTACGCACGTCTGTTTTGGTGAACAATCCTAATATAATATTTAGAACTGAATCGTGTTGCAATTATGTCACGTCTGACAAGCAATTAACTATTTTTAGATAAAACATGTTTATGACAAACCGGCCTGGTCGTCGAGGTGGTGGCTGTGTAATTTACCTGAAAAAATCGCTCGCAGCAACACCATTCGAGGACCCAGTGCTGAACAATGTTCAGGAATCACTCTGGCTTACGATGTATGTTAACCAGTAGTAGCTGCTTATGGGATGTATACACTGCGCGCCATAATGCAGCCAAGAGGACCCAGAGCTTTCGACGCTTGTATTTGAATGCAACTCTAGCCCATCATTTTATATAGGATTATTCGAGGTGATTTTAATCTGCCTTCGACTTGTTGGCCTATGCGAACCGCACCTTTGAAATGCCAAAATCTTATCTCTTGTACCCAAATGAATGCCTGGCAGCAACCCGTCTCCCAACCTACCAGAGGTGAAAGTACTCTGGATCTCATTTTTTCATTAGGCATACCTACAACCAGTGTTAATTTTCTTGTTGCATTTCCGGGGAGCGATCATCGCATGTTCAAATGCCGCCTAAGACTATGCACGGCCGATGTACAGAACACAATGCATTATCGTCCGTTCTGTTCTGTTAACTGTGACTCTTTCAAGGACCTGGTTTGTTCAATGAAATGGGATCACTAATTAACTCTTCATGTCCTCAACATGTGACCGACAAATTTCATAGTAGAATTGGTTTCTGCATCTATTCAGCAGTACCATTCAAATGTGTTTACCAAACTAAACATATATCTGATCGCAAGGCCTTGAAGACAACACGAAATCTTCATAAGATTCGGCAGAAATTCAAATTACCTGCTGACATTGCACTATTATTACAGCAGTCGAAGCTCGTCGAAGAACAGAGGCATCAAAATGACAAAACTCTCATTCTAGAAGAGTATAAAGCTCTGAACGGCCCTAGGAAAACAGCTGAGCTAGCCAATCTATTCCGCGCCCGAGGTTCGCGTTACAGCGACAATTTCAATTTTATCACCACATCTGATAGAACATGCTACGACGCACCACGTGATAGCCGCGAAGATTTCAGTGCTTATTTTGCCGAATCAATGCTCAATGAGTCATCAGACATACCAACACTTCTCATGCCCCACAACAATGAAGGTCTATGCACAGTGTGATTCAGTATAGCCCAAATCACTGGTCAAGTCTCTCGCTTATACTCGTCAACGTGCGCAGGACTTGATGGGATCCCCCTTGTTTAATGAAAAGCATTGGTAGCGCTTCCCTTCTGCTTTTGCTCAACATCTTTACACTCTCTTTTAACAAATACTGAATGGGCAACCTCTGTCGTTATCCCGCGACATAAAAATGGCGTTGTCAACGATGTTAAACTTTCGTCCCATCAATCTCACGCCCATCCCATCTAGAATAATAGAAAGGATAGTGAAAGATGAATTATTTATATTCTTATACAAGGCGAACATCATCAGCAATTCGCAACACGGCTTCATGCAATGTCGATCTTGCGCAACATGCCAGACTGACTTTTTAAACCACACAACGGATGCCATTGACAAGGGATACAGCGTCGTAATCCTGTTCCTAGATATGCAAAAAGCCTTGGATAGAGTACCCCACAGAAGGTTACTAAACAAACTGAAGGCTATAGGCATTGGAGAACCGATGTTCTCTTGGCTAACTTCATATCTAATTGGTAGACAGCAGGTGGTGCACATAAGCGACCATTTCTCTAAACCGGAAGAAATCCCTAGTAGAGTGATTCAAGAGTGTTCTTGATCCTCTTCTTTTTCTAACTTATATTAAGGATATAATCCAGAGAATAAGAAATGCTGTTACATTTATCTTTGCTAATGACATTAAAGTTGTCTACTCACAACCAAGTGCAAATACTCAGAAAGCCAAACGTCTCATTCAGGATGACTTATCTGCCCTTGACTCCTGGTGCCAACTGTGACAGATGTCTTTTGCCGTGAACAAGTGCACTATTTTATCGTACAAATGCCAAGAACCGCCAGACACTTTATTACTACAAGGCGCATATATCTCGCACTGCTGGGCAGTTCGCAACTTGGGCGTGTGATACTCAGTCACCTTTAACTTTTCTGAACACTGGCTTTCAAGTTCGAAAGCCATGAATACCATCGGTTACGTCTGCCATCATTTTTACCTCACGGAATCTTGCATATCGCTTTACAAAACATATGTATTGCTGTGTATGGAATAATGTTCAGTGGTACAGTCTAATCTGCGGATATTTGATTAGCGTGCTCTTGTGAGGGTCCAGAGACGCTACACGAAAATGTTATGTTGATATTCCTCAAAGTTGACATACAGAGAGCGATGTGATAAACTTGGATTTGATCCAGTTTTGATTGGGATAATGAAACTGAACTTACTTTTAATTTACAGAATCATAACTTGTCAAATTCGCAGTCTTGCTAACGGTGTTTATATATATTTAAACAGCAGATTTCTAATTCTTAACAAATAGGTAAATGTCATGATTCCAAAATTTACTACAAGTATCAGAGAAGGCCTGTTACTTCCTCCAATGTAACTGGCTCCTCTGCTACACACGTATCGATATTTACAACGTGAATTGGTTCCCCGAGCTTGTCTGGTCGCTCACACTCTTTGTTACAAATATTCATGCCTGGCTGTTGTTTTATAGTAATGAGAACGCAAGAAATAATTTCATGTATCCTCCGGCTTTCGTGTTCTCATGGCAGTATTCAAACGAATGAAGTGAATTAAGTGCATTAAATTGACAAACGTAACTAGCAAATCCGCGTTGAGCAATTGTTTATTGCCCTCCCACGACCAGAACACACGGCATGTCATAGCCACGCAAACAACCATGCGTACCTGAATCAACTACCAGGTAACCGCATGCACATTTCGGTTAATTTACCGGTTATACTCGTTTCCAAACACACCTAAATTTATTCACTTCATTCTGCGTATCACTACAAGTTACGTCTGGAGGTATGTCTGTCAATTCCTCCGTAAACTATACATTCTTTTTACAGATCAATACAATCAAGTCACTACGCTCATGCAATTCACACTTCACCTGGACAATAATCGTCCCATTGGATTGGATTGCCATTCGGGACAATAGCATGGATGCAGAATAAATCACTGTGACCTAACTTGGAGACCCAACACGTTTGCTTTTAGGATGCTTTATGATGATTGCAACACTTGGATCATCGAAAGATTAGACTTCCGGAGAGGTCGTAATAAAGATCCAGTACCTCTGATTTTCACACTGTGCTTTCGGTATTAACCTCGCTAATGCTATCTTGCTTTGATTGAACCGCATGAAAGTAAATTTGGATTTTTGACCGGTTGTATTACAGAAGGGGTTACTGGGAAGGGGTTACTGGGAAATGATTAACTGGTGAATCACCCAGAACAAACCAAAACAAAGCCAACAGTGCACTACGTTATTATCCAGATGAATATCAGAATTTAAAAAGGAAACACAGTAATAATGCTGCTCAGTACGATAAAGTCGATTCATTGCAAGGTTTGAGATAACAGTGCAAATCACTGTAATTGAAGCCTACGGACTTATCTCGAATACAAGAGTCCGCACAAGGAATCACACAGGCGCTTATATTAGGCCACATAACCACACGCAATAACGAGTTGGCTGTACCGCGCATAGAGGGTACGACGCTTTAGGTTCCCGGGTGACTTCATTCTATTGTCACTAGGTAGGTGTGTGCAAATACGGGAATGAACAGACGACAGGCAAGTGTGAAACATAGGGCAAGCTATGTAGATAGATGGGTAAATAATTAAACGGGTATATTTCCCAATTGGCGGGATACTATCCGAACAGAAGGTACAAAGCAGGCCTAAGAGCTTGGTTTGGAGAAAACCGGAGCTTGGCAGCAAATCTGAAGACGAACAGGGTTTGATAAGCAGGTGCTGATCGTAGTTCAACATATGGTGCAGTTGTCAGTTATGATGATCAAACACAATGCAATATCCAAATAATCTCTTGCCTGGTAATATACAACAGGCATTGCATTGGTTTATTGTTCAAATATTTACGCCTAGCAAAATCTTGTTTATTTATAGTATTGTTTACATAATACTACTTCCATGTACGCCAATTTTGCTTGAGTCCGCTGTTTTAAATGAAAAGTGAGCTGAGACATAAGCAAAGTGCATTTTTAAACACGTAGCCACCCAATATCCTAAACAATAGCCATCCGTGTCTTAAAATGAGACAGGGTGTTCTGCAGACTAGAAGCCTAAACCAGACTCCCTCCTTTACTATTCCATGGTAGATGTGTGTTATAGAAAGATCCACATCGTTAAACCGTGTGGGGCCAAATTATTGGATATGGACCGCCATCCGTACCGTTAAGCAGCGCCACACTTCACAGATACTCCGCCGTCAATCAGATTGACGCCCCACATGCCGATGTGTCAGATAGGTACTGTCGGCTACCTAATTGGAGCACAGAGTTAGCAAATCAATTCTCGTGTGTGTGTGTATGTGTGTGATACACATATCATCCAGCCAGAAATGCTCAAGGTCTAGAATGGGCATGTGGCGAGTATATAAATTGGATGCGCGCCACAACCCCAATTAAATACTGACAAATCACCATGATATCCCCGTCAAGGGGCTTACTACTACTTGGTAAGTGCTGTGCTGAATTCTGTTCCTGCAATTTGTCCTCCGATGCCGATTATTACGTGATGACATTTCACTACGAAACCGTTTGGGCTAGAAATACCGTACAATCCCATTCGAAAAGTACTAAACCAATAGTATAAATCAGAACTTCTTTTTTCGTTGTCCTTCGCGAACCTACGAAAGCAACCTAATTTCTGCAGTCATTAGTGAAAAGAAGTATGTACGTGTTGCTGAATCACACCATGTCATTTGCAGTCAAATTATAAAACGATGAGATCTTGCACACATCACAATAAATGTTACGCATGCAATCCATCCGGAGGAAAAAGCGACGCCCCACACAGGCTTAACTAGGCCATTTGACTATGTAGTTGTTTCTTTATACAATTCGGAACTACAGTTAGCATAAGCTGCCAATGGCATCGAGGGGTTGCGTCTGATAGCCCGAGTAAATGACGTTGAGATGCGAAACAAGCGCATTGTTGATACGCTTGTCACAGAAACATTTGTTACGTTAGTCGATATTCATGTACCTTCGAGACCCTAATATTCAAAATTCATCGATTTAGCAAAACCGATACAATGGTCTAGGCAGCTTACTTAGACATTCTGACTTAATGCAACTCAGAAGAAGCTGGTGCGCCCAATGATTTCATAATGTACTCCTCATGAACGCTACCAATTTCGTTCAACAGCAATTGCGTTTGCGCCATGCCAACAAATGCGGCTACATGGTGAGTTCACATGAGTGGATTCTGCGTGTTTAACTTATCACTACATACCCGCTGTTGATAATAGGTTAAATTCTCCACCACGTCAGTTGTCTCCAAATTATTGTTTGCTTCATGAGTTTATGGAAAAAGCAGTCTGCATATTAAAGAAAACGCAGAAGAGCCAATGCACACGTAACTAGCTAAAATAACCAAATACTCTCTACCAGATAGCCGTGCGAAATAGTCCGCTTTTCAATGTTAACTTCATTATCTTTTGTCCCTACAGGCATAGAGATAACGGGAGTACTCCTGAAGGATGGTAATCCATTACCATTAAGTAGTAAACAGGAACTGGAAGACCATCCAGTAGCTGGACAGTTTGAAGATGTTTGCTCCAAGGTAAACAGTGGTGCTTTGAGTTTTTGTTTGCAGTGGTAAAATAATCACATCAAAATATAAATGATATTCGGATAGCATACTTTGCCGAAATCATTAAGGCTAGTTTCTCACTTTGCCCCACATACTGTCATTATGTCTGAACGGCTGGGTTATTCGTGATAAAATATGTTCTGGCTGATCACTGTAAACCCATTGATAAGCATTATTTGCCACGCTATTTCAGCTGCGAGCCTCAATTTCATCCAAGATAGGCGTGCCATACGATACGGTGGGATGTGGCTTTTCTTCATTAATTGCCCCTCCTAATCGAACTCACGTCATTGTCAGGACAGAGAATAAAGGATCTGCTGAACTGCACAATTTTGTAATGGAATTGTTTTCGGAATGGGACAAACGGAGAAATGACTCAAAAATCGTGGGCTTTGAACTGCAGTCACACTTTGGTAAATTGGTCCCAATCGTTTAAGTGATATTGCAAGTGATATTGCATTTTCTGACACGATGGCTACCTTCGTACACGAATTGCACTGTAATAAGTAATGCTTGCATTCATCAATGTGCCGGGTATTCCGCAGTTATCAATCACATAATTAGAGTGGTTTGAATCCACTGATTATCCTAATGGGAATGGGCCTAATAAGTAGTCATACTCCCGTGTACATTTTGAATTCATTATTTTTGGCGAGCAAGCTGAAAACTTTATCCTTTTACAGAGACTACCATTGGTGATGGGTACGCAAGTAAGTTGTTCCACCATACCGGTATCCATAGCTAGACTACACAGGTTATCGAACAATCCACTACACCCCATTTAATCGCACTTCTGTGGAATTAGTGGGTACCACCGCAGTTGCAATCAGACAGGCGTTAGTCCGTGGGAACTGACGCGGCAATACTAAGCAGCACATCTCGCATCGTTCACCAGAGTGAGCAGTCAAACTCAGCTCTTGCGATTGTATGTCATGTATTTGCCTGTAGCACTAGTGCGAATTTCCAATTGGCGCTAAACCATCTGGCTTAAACTATCAGCGGTTTGCACCTATGTTGTCTGCGTGGTACTACCATGGAAAGTGACTGAATGAAGGTCATAGGTTCCTACTAGCGTATACATCTTAAGCACGGCCAAACATGCGCAGTAGTCACACTAGAAAAGCAACATCCACCGTTTTATTTGACATTTAGTGTGCTTCTACTTTGTGCATTCCTGATATTCTCAATCTTATTCAGCCATCCGAATTTCTATGGGATCCTTCGGAAAGGATTTAACTGTCGAACTTTCTAGTATCTATGGCACTGCAACTGAGGTGATGCATATTGCGGAGACAACTTGCTCAAGAGTAAGTAACAGTTTGAAGTGCTTTCATAAACACGTTTCGCTATGGTACTCACTGTGTTCACTCAGGATTATTAAATGACGGCGGTGCCCAAATCGATTACTCGTCGAACCGCAACTACTCGCAAGATAACTTACCGTTAACTCAAAAATCAGAATAGACCTGTCGTAACACACACTTGATGCGCAAGATAGCTCAAGTGGCAATTTGTTTGCCAGTTTTCTATTGTTTCTCATTTTAACCTAACCGCTACAGCGTGGCTAAAAGTAGGTAGCAAACATCCACTGAACTTGAACATTTGCCCAACCAGCCAGCTTCATTTCGCGAAGGACACACAGGTTCCTCTATGACACGTTATGGACTTCGTCGACTGCATACACACCTGTTTAGATAATTTAAAAGCTATGGCGTTTCTAATGCAATCAATGAAAGAATAAGGTAGATTGATGGAAGTATCGTTGCGGTGATATTCATCAAAAGAACGTGGCATGTACAGCTATGTATGTCCTTCGTTTTAACACGCGCTTTTGCTCGCCCATGGGTATATTGTCTGAGTGCTAGTTGGATTCATAGACAAAAGATAAACTAAACGTTATAAAAGTATCTATTCATTTAAAACGTCTCACATACAAACCAGAATCCCTCAAGCATAATGCATCCTTCTGTACTTAATGTATGGTACTAATGAACATATTGTACTTTCCCCACTGGCTATTTTGAATCAACAAGTACGAGAAATTGGCTAACACTGAGAAAATAGCGGGCTACAAGAACTTTACTTGTGTTGTAACCGGTCCACACCGTGGATATTTGAAAGGAGTCTTTTTCATGCACTTCGAGTCGGATGAACCAGATGCGATCACAATAATCAAAGAGGCTTTGGAAAAGAGAAGCATAACGGGGAATGGTTACGACATCACTTCTTTGTTAATTGAAATCCTAAATTTTACGTTCTAATGTCAGTAATAAAAACATATTGGAAACACCAAGTTCTTGTGCTTATGTATGATGAACATAAATTGTTTACTTATGGAAACTAACCAAATCCCTTTCCTTGTACAATACGTATATTTGCCTAATGTTATCGGTTGTTGGCTTATTGTGCCCAGCCACAATATTATCTAAGTGCTAGCACATTTGCTCATAGCATATAGCCATTTATATATATGTATATCACAATATGTTTGACAAGCCAAACTCTTCCGTGTAAGTCGCATTCACAATACTTCTGAGTCGATGAGATTTTCCCTTTGAATCAGTTAAACAATCGGTGAGTAAGTCACACGAATGTCGGCCAATGCTCCCCAGTAAGCGAATCGGTTATGCCTATCACCCAATGGCGGTCTGGCATGCTTAGTTGATCCATTCGCACAATTGGTATGTGATACAGACGTTGAGCACATCAAGATCATGCTACACTACCTAGCCTGTGGAGCTGCATCGTGCGCGCTAGTGCGTGAGTGTCCATCTCCCGACTAACCAGCGATGCTTATTGATTGGTTCAAAAGCGAGTGCTTAGCTAAAACATGTGAACTGCGTAAAACTAAACAGTTGGTATTGTACCCAGTGTGGACTGCCGATGTACTATTGCCATTGTTTCTACTAAACTTCCATTTGCAATACTGTTGTTATGAGTTCGGTTGAGTGTAACAATTTGGCGACGGAGGTTATTCTGATTGCTCATGGCAAATTCAATAACGGCACCCCAACCCTTTTGGAATTCTTCTACTGAGAGGCCTACTGCGCAACAATGGTTGCAGTGGAAAACTACATTTACTAACTATGTTGATTTGCTTTTGCTCCTTGGCGGAAATTGCACGATTGATGATGCAGCGAAAATTAAATTACTACGCCATCTCTGCATCGAGGGCCAGCAACATTTCGACAGTTTGCAATTACATACGAAGCGAGACCTAAAAACTGTGTTCTATTCCGTGGACCGAATATGGGGGGAAAGCCCCATGTGTTTACTGCTCGGTACAAATTCAGCACCATGCAACAACAGCCAAATGAGACTGTAAATGAATTTATCTCTCGTCTCCTTACTGCTCTCCCTGACTGCGCCTATGATCAGATCCTTCCAGCCCAGTTCGAAGAAGCGATGCTGTTACAGGCATTCATCGTGGGTGTTTTCGATGAGAAGGCACGAGAACGTCTGCTCTCCGAAGATGAAACGCTACTGACGTGGGAAAAAGCATGTGATATAGTCCGACAGCGTGCCAACCTCGTCCAGGAACTAGCCACATTTCCCTCTTCAAATCAATCAATCTCACATGACGTAAACTAGGTCTACCAGACTAACCGTGGACATGCCTTATCTCGCCCCGTACAGCGCAAGGAATTCCGTTGTTACCGTTGCGGGGAGAATCACTTGTCTCCGACTAACTGTCTGCACATTCATTCATTATTCAGATTCTGTGTAAGTGGGTCATATTCAGAAAGTGTGTCTTTCCAAGTGGAAATCACTCGCCCAGGAACAATCTAAGGCTACAAACTGCATTACCGATGAATTGCACCAGAATTGGATTAACACCACAACTGCTTTTAATCGCACGATTACAGCAGAAAAACCGTTTGTCATATTCGTCCAAGTAAACGAACAACCGGTAAAGTTTGAAATGGATACCGGTTCCGCAGTCATTTTGATCCGATCAGACGCCCTATCCCAACTTCCAAAGCTGTATCCACCGAACATACAGTTGCGATCTTACACGGGACAGATGGTGAATATGCTTGGTACCTTCAATGCACGCATTTCTTACGTAATTCAACGAGTCATATGTGTGTGTACATTTCTGGAGGAACGGGTCCGAACATCCTGGTCCGCGATGGAATTAAGCGCCTTCCTGGCATAATGTCGAACGTCAACCTGGTGAAAGACAATCCGCAGTTATCCGAGATTTTGCAGAAGCATGCAGTCTTCTTTGATCAGTCGAGATCAGGACTTTTAAAGAATTTACAGTGCACATCTGGCATTGAAACCACAGACAAAACCGCGGTTCTGGAAAGCTCGCACTGTTCCCTATGCCCTCCGTGATAAGGTCGAAAGTGAACTGCGCCGACTCCAGTTGGAAGGTACCATTGAACCCGTCCAGTATTCAGACTGGACAGCCCCCATTGTGCCAGTATTGAAGAGCGATGGTACGATAAGAATCTGCGGGGATTACAAGGTTACGATAAACCAAGCGTTAGAATTAGACCGATATCCGCTACCAAAGATTAAAGACAGTTACGCTTCCCTTTCCTGTGGCGATCTATTTGCAAAACTAGATCTGAGTTATGTCTACCAACAAATTGAACTCGATGAGGAATCACGCACGTACACCACCATTAGTACTCATCTCGGATTATTCCGCTATATACGCATGCCTTTTGGAATAAGCTCGGCTCCATCTATTTTGCAAAGTATTATTGACTCACTCGTGAAAGATATACCAAACGCATGTGCGTACTTAGATGACATTTCAATTACTGGACGAACTACCGCCGAGCACTTACATACATTGGACGTCGTCCTGGAGCGATTATCGGATGCCGGTTTGGTTCTAAAAAGAGAAAAGTGTGAATTCCTTGTTCTGAGTGTACAGTATCTTGGCTATCGGTTGTCACGTGAAGGAGTGTGGCCACTGGAAGAAAAGACAAAGGCGCTCCTTGAGGCGCCCGCACCCAAAAATGGTCATGAATTGCGGTCGTTCCTCGATGTTGTCACTCAGTTTTCCAGGTTTATACCATCGGCAGCAACTCATCTGCATCCGCTTCACCAGCTGCTACGCAAAAACCAAAGCTGGAATTGGAACAATACTCATGAAAATGCATTCAAAGCGGTCAAGAAACTCTTAGCATCCAGAGATGTTCTTGTGCATTGCGATCCGCAGAAGCCTGTCGTTATTTCTTGTGACGTCTCACCTTACGGTCTCGGAGCTGTTTTAATGCACAAATTACCGAATGGCTCTCAACGTCCCATTGCTTATGCTCCAAGAACCCTGACACCAGCAGAACGGAACTACTCTCGACTTGATCGAGAGGCAGCCGCTGTCATCTTCGGCACCACTCGATTTCACCAATATTTACTCGGGCAACCTTGCGTGATCCATACGGATCATAAACCTCTTGTTTTCCTCCTCGGCCACGAGAAAGGTATTCAACAAATGGCTTCACCTAGAATGGTACGTTGGTCGCTTATTCTTTTTGCGTATACATACGAACGTCAGTATGTTCCAGGCAAACAGAATACCACCGCTGATGTTCTTAGCCGGCTTCCCTTACCAGAGACACCATCGAAAGAATTTATCCCACAAGAGCTCGTAAACCTGGTCCAGCATTTTAATGATTTCCCAGTCACATGTACAGACATACGTCAGGAAACTGACAGAGACTCTGTTCTATCGTTGGTCAAACGCTATGTCCAAGTTGGGTGGCCGGACAATACCGCAAAGAACTCATGCCCTTCCGTAACAGGATATCTGAACTCCGCCTCCGGAATGGATGCTTGCTGTGGGGCGCACGAGTTATTGTCCCCAAGAAATTTCGGTCACGTATCCTTGACGAACTACATGATGCGCATCCAGGTATCGCAAAGATGAAGTCGTTAGCTCGATTTTATGTGTGGTGGCCTGAATTAGACCGTGAGATGGTGGCGAAAGTTGGAAGTTGTGGACCTTGCCAGGAGACCTGAAACACCGCTCCTCATGCGCCA